TCCCTTTGAAAATAAAGTTCGATGGTTAGTACTTCTTTCTTCTACTTCGTTGTCCCTCCCAGTTGAGCACAAGTCATCAAAAAAAGGGAAACGCCAACTCCAGGGCTGTTTAACAAAGTTTACTCAAAGGCCAATATTTTCAAAATGGGGATCGTCATAGACCAGAGACCGAAGTCCCAGCAAACAAAGATCATTAATACATTACAACTAGCAATGGCCCATTGGCCATTTTCTAAACCTCTGCTGACGGGATCTGGTACCTTTCTGTCTGCACACATGGTGATGTCACATTGTGCTGTAGCACTGGTTTCTTCTTCTTCTTCGCGTTCACCAGCTGTACACTCTGGCGGAAAGTTCTGGTTGCTCGTCCACTACTGAACTGCAGTCCTGCTCCAGAACCTGAGTATTGCGTGTGCATCAGTTTTACAGATCTCATTCTCTTGAATACAGACTGTTGGTTCCTTGCCTCTCCGGCAGATGCACTCCGACTTCAAAGGAAGCTCCCCAATTAGTCGACTCTTACGACATGCTTTTTTTGGGAGGTAGTGGGTCTATTCTTGTTTTCCCCACAATGGGGCCCCGGAACCCACACGGGGGACTGGTTTCAATATGGGGGGGGGGGGGAGGGGCGGACCCAGAAATTGTGAAATTTAATGCAGTTATACTTGCAATAATTTTGGATACTAACATCATGTTTTAAGCTCTTCTTTTAAAGTATTTTAAAAAACAATAAGCCAAGGACGTTTTTGCTTTCAAGAAGAATTTTCACATCTACCGTTATAACTAGCCTAGCATGTGCATTTATTATATATTAAGAACACATTCTGACCAAAACGCATCTCCATACTTTCTACGTCACCACTTTACGTACTCATCTTTTCCAACTGTACTTTTTAAAACTCGTGCGAGAGAAAAAAGGGTTAGTGAGGGCTTAGAAAGGGTGGGGGGGGGGGGGGGGGGGCTTGTCATATATTTAAAGAGGTCACGCTAACCGTCAATAGTCGCCTTTTACGACCTTCTTGGCAAATTACAGCGCAGCTAGTCTTTGATACTTTTGCTAGCACCCCACAGCACGCAGCCGATCACAGAACACCGTGGTCTTTTTCACAAGCAACTACATGCTACATACAGTTAAGGAAGCTTTTAAGTGCTGCTGGCTCTACTCCCTTCACCTTTGGATATAATCCTGCTACTGTTTACACAAGATTCCCATAGATTTGACGTCCTGACAGAAATAGTTGGATATTTCACAGTTTTAATCCTGGACCCTCGTTAAAATACCTTCTGACAGTCAAGCCTGTCGGATATGCAGGATGGGCATTGGTTCTTCTGTGAGTACAGTTCCATATCCAACGTTCTAATCCTTGTGAAAACTATCTTCTGTTAGTTTTGATGGATTTTCCATCTTCCAGACTTACCGTATTTCCCCAAGTATAAGACCCCAATGCATAAGATGCGCCTTGATTTTTTAAGGGAAAAAAAATGATTACACAAAGTTACTGAACTCGGAAAGTTGAAACTGGTTTCGTGCGCTCATAGTGGCTTGCATGTGTGCAGAATGGGAGAAAATCGGCCACCATGGCAAGCATGGGAGGCTAAGAACCAGGGAACCAGACCTCCGGGACGACCCAGGGTGCGCTGGGAAGACAACATCCGACAGTCCCTGACTGACAGAGGACTGGAATGGAACAAAGCCAGAAAGAAAACTGCTGATAGAGACGTCTGGCGATCTCTCTGGCAAACCTCTACACCCCAAGGTAGAAGAGGAGCGACTAAGTAAGTAAGTAAGGGTTCAAATGCTCAGTGCAAAAGAACAGATATGGAATCCAAACACCGAAATATTAATTCAGCCTGAGTATGTAGAGGTTCTGAAAGAGATTCAACATTGAAGGGGAAACAGAAACGGACTTTTTATCAGGATGCAACCGGTACTTTTAGCATGGATGCCCGGTTCTCTAGCGTAGTTGGCTAAACTGGACTGCGCGGTGACAGGGTGACGAACTCCTTGTGGCCCGGGTTCACGCCCTTGGGTAGGCAGAAAAGCCACATTTCTCCCAGATTTATGGTATTTATCATGGAATGAAGGCCTAATGGTTGCGATTTCCATAATACCGAGCCTAAGGGTTAACAACTCATGGCTTCTGGATACTGAAAAAAAAAAAAAAAACGGATCAACATCACGGCACAAGCGTAGTAACCCATAAGTGCTCCGCCTGAGTCGGAAGAGCCTCAGCACAGTGCACTAACTCCGTAGCACCGGCGAGGGATATTGAAACACTATGGGAAGATTTTTAACTCCAGATTCTTGCCTGGGCATCGCCGTTAGGCTACTCTTTTCGATTTCCCACGGTCTAGCAGCTCCACCACGTCGACTCCCACTACCCAGAGACATGACGAAATTACCTAAGTCCACGTGAAAAAATCCCAACCTTCACCGGGGCCTGAACCCAGGATCTCCCTCACTCGAGGCGGACGCCATGCCTCGAGACCACTTAGCAGCTCACTATGTCAACTCTTCGTTGGCTGCTGAAAAGGGGGATGTATCACGTGTGGAAATGTCCAGAGTGCATTGATGTCAATTCTTAATTCATTCACCGAACTCACGGTTCATTCGTCAGGGAATCCACAAATCAAGTGAAAGTTAACCCGGTATATAATTGTTTACAGAAGTCAGATGTGTCGGCCGAACGGCGCAGATATATTACGGTCATGATGTAAACGGGCACAACGCAGTTACATCTTGTTGTTTTTAGATATTTTTTGTCATCTTGGCTGGGTGAACGCAGAAGAAGAAGATGTAAAAAAATTCATCGCTGTCACAACCCTAATTCATATGATAGTTCTTTAGCCTGCCCTCGTCTGTGTCTGGTGACGAATCACTGTTGCTCCATCTTCAGTTTCATCAGTAGAATTTGAAATACCACACTTCTTGAATGACTTGACAACGCTCTCAATCTTCACCTTATCCCAGGATCTTAACACCCAGGTGCAAACCTCTCCTTATAGCTGTCTTCTTCCCGCCACCTGCTGGTGTTAAATTGTCCCTAGAAGACTTCGACCATTGGTTTCATTTCGTCTCTCATGGAAACTGTCAAGAGTTTGTTAATGCTGACATCAAGAGGTTGAATCTTAGTGGACACCGCAGTGCGTAACCTACACGTGCGAAACGATGAAGGCGAAGACATAAGTATAAACTATTGCAACAGGGAAAACAGTTTTTAATGTTATAATCTTTCCCCGATTTTATAGCGCTCTTGAACCGGTATTCCCAAATGAGGCTCTGTACGGGATATTGTCTAAGAAATCATTTGGTTAAAATTTACTATCATTGTAAAAGATGCACACTATTGTTATACTCTATATTTTCAGAAAATAAGTGGGTCCTAAACATGCAATCATCATCGATGGCGTTAGCGTTCTGGCTAGGCGTTTGCTTGCCGGTCTGAAGATTTGAAGTCAAACTCGGTTTAGGTCCCTAGATTGTGAAGCCCTAAGCTTTAGCTTGTTAAAAGTTTTTTTGTGTGTGAAAAAGTATAGGACCCTTCTCCACACTTAGTGTGTATTGGGCAGTACTGATGTCATCAACATCATCCCACCTTTACATTAGACTAGACTTTACCAGGTACCCACTCAAGGCTGGGTCCCCCCGAGAGCCCAGGTCATTTTTAAAGAAAAAAAATATTATGTTCCGTTCAGACTCGAATCCACAACCACTTGATTTACAGGAGAGCGTCTAGCCGCTTCACCAGGACGGCTGTTGAAGTTTATTTTTACTAATACATAAATCCGGCACTGTATCCTTTGCTTATGAATCAACATGGATGACTGCATAATTCATGCCCCGATGGCAGACATGAATGACTGTATCATTCATGCCCCGCTAGCAAACATTGATGTCTGTATCATTCATGCCCCGCTAGCAAACATGGATGTCTGTATCATTCATGCCCTGCTAGCAAACATGGATGTCTGTATCATTCATGCCCCACTGGCAAACATGAATGACTGTATCATTCATGCCCCGCTGGCAAATATGGATGACTGTATCATTCATGCCCCGCTAGCAAACATGGATGTCTGTATCATTCATACCCCGCTAGCAAACATGGATGACTGTATTATTCATGCCCCGCTAGGAAACATGGATGTCTGTATCATTCATGCCCCGCTAGCAAACATGGATGACTGTATCATTCATGCCCCGCTAGCAAACATGGATGACTGTATCATTCATGCCCCGCTAGCAAACATGGATGTCTGTATCATTCATGCCCCGCTAGCAAACGTGGATGTCTGTATCATTCAAACCCCGCTAGCAAACGTGGATGACTGTATCATTCATGCCCTGCTAGCAAACACGGATGTCTGTATCATTCATGACCCGCTAGCAAACATGGATGTCTGTATCATTCATACCCCGCTAGCAAACATGGATGTCTGTATCATTCATGCCCCAATGACAAACGTGGATGTCTGTATCATTCATGCCCCAATGGCAAACGTGGATGTTTGTATTATTCATGCCCCGCTAGCAAACATGGATGTCTGTATCATTCATGCCCCGCTAGCAAACATGGATGACTGTATCATTCATGCCACGTTAGCAAACACGGATGTCTGTATCATTCATGCCCCGCTAGCAAACATGGATGTCTGTATCATTCATGCCCCGCTAGCAAACATGGATGACTGTATCATTCATGCCCCGCTAGCAAACATGGATGACTGTATCATTCATGCCCCGCTAGCAAACATGGATGTCTGTATCATTCATGCCCCGCTAGCAAACATGGATGTCTGTATCATTCATGCCCCGCTGGCAAACATCTTTGAATCTTGAATCACACAAGAGGTCGGTCGGCGTTTAATTCTCTTCCCAATCAATTTAACAAATACAACGAACACATATCAGTCAATGATCCAATCATAAGGTAGCAAACAAAAGTGCAGCGACGTCCGTCACTAACGAAGACACGAACATTTACCAGCTATGTACTTACCATCAGCTTTACTCATGTAACCACTTGATGGAAACGCCGGCAGGCGGTGAAAGTTGCCTGAAAAACAAAAATATTTGTATATAAATAAACAAACAGACAATATATTGATCGGCACTCATAGAAAGAAGTAGAAAGATAGAAGTGCACACTAGACAACACACAAACCGAAAGCTAGAGTTACCGTGCCGGTAATCCTATTACCTCCAAATTTCGTATGCGCCTTGCTATGGAAACAAGTGATACATGACCAGCAAGGCACCCCCTAAAAAAAGTTGTCTTCATTGGCCATGTCATTTCATGTCAAACCATTGAAAGAACACCATAGGTTACAGAAATGTATATCAGCCAAGCCTAGGTCGAATTAAAAACACAATTCACAATTTACGTAAAATAAAAAATGTATTTGTGTCTTTTTCGTCTTTAGTTTGCTTAAAAAAGATAATCTGTATCTGCAATGTTGTCTCTAGTATGAACTTCACTGACTGTTGTAATTCACTTAGAAACCTGTAAAGTTTGACTTGCACTGATGTTTCGCTTAGTCAACAGTTTTGCCTTGATATGTTGTATTTGGGACAGTCTTGGAGGAGAGATTTGTAGTCTCGCTTTCCAATCCACATGTGCACATGTTTGGTTTGCCGATTTAAAATTGTGTGGCCTGTCTTGTTAGAAGGCGTAGAATAATTACATTCTTGAACATGACAATATTATTTCGCATAAATATCTTAGAGTCGTCGTGGCAAAGTGGTTAAACCGTTCACCTCACGCTCTAAAGGTCGTTAGATCGTTTCGCGGACTGCATCGTTCCCCCCCCCCCCCTTTTCCACCCCCTCCTATCTGTTTTCTCCCGCTTGTACTTTTTAAAATGGAACCAGAGGGCGCCTTGTCTCACTACGTAGCCGTTTTTAGCTTTCAGATGTAACTGTACTTTACTCAACGGTAGTTTGTTGTCTCTGAGTCAGTCTTGTATCATTTGCAGCATGTTACCCAAATGACAACAACGCCTCCTTGCATTACAAATGTGCTAAGACACACGACCAACTAAGCACCCATAAAAAAGGTGCTATCATTAGTCAGGTCTCTGCCGTACGGCTGGGGCCCACAGTTACGAAATACAGACTGAACTCGCAGGCGTTTTACCATTGATTATATTCTCACTTTGAGAGCATGCATCTTTCCTGTAGCAACGTGAACATGTGAGTCGTGGACTATCTCGCAGTCTTTCATGAAGACAATTGGGGCTTTTGAGTTGAAATGCTATAGAAAGATTCTTAGAATACCATTGACAAAGAAGAAAAGAAATACTGGCATCTTTTTCTGTGTTCTCTGTCTGTAAGCTCTGGCGGAAAGTCCTGGCTTTTCATCCATTTGGACATCGGGTTTGTGCCAGGGCCTCAGTTTTGCGTGTTAATCAGTTTTACAGGCTTATTTGTGTTCAGCTGGTTGTTCTTTGAAATTCGTGCAGATGTACTCCGACTTCGAAGGAATCCCCTAATTAGTCGACTCCTAAGACATGCTTGTTGAGAAGGCAATGTGGGTCTATCCCCCCCCCCCCCACAATGTGGCCCCAGAACCCACATAGGGGGTTGACATTTTAAAACATCTGAACGTCAGAAAGATTGATAAGTAAACATAATCTTGTCTTAAAAGCTGAAATGGTTTCGTCATGTTAAGCGCCAAGAAAACTGGGGAAAACATAATTTCAAAAGGCATGGTATTAGGAGAGAGGGGCAGGGACCGACCAACACGAAGATGGGCACAGGATTTAAGTGACTCCTTGAATCTGAAAGTGCATGAGGCAGGAGAGCTGGCGGGATACCCAGTTTCTTTTAGGCAGACCGTGACGAGAGCAACCTTCTGCAAGGAATCTTCTCTCTGATGATGATGTCATAACTCGTAATGTTGCTGAAATCAACGCGATGAGGTCTGCCGTCTTATCGTTCAGAAATTAATGGCAAGGTGAGAGTTCGGTAAAGAACTTCAAAAATGCCTTCAATTACACGAGTTCTCAGCTATGTGGGAACAATCTAGAAGTGCTGGAAACGGATGAGCTGGCGACAAAGACATGCAAGTAGGTCTGGCGTACTGACAGAGCTGTTGGCCATGTGGCAGGTCAGCAGAGTGCTCAGCTGGCGCTGCCTAGGACCAGTTGCTGACAGACAGAACGAGTTCATGACAACTAAAACCGGCTGATGACAACTAGAACCGTCTGATGACAGATTCGACGGCTGTGTGTGTACCGGGTAAGCAATCTAAGGAGGGAGGGAGGGAGAGGAGCGAGAGAAGGGTAATAGATGGGAGGGGAGGAAGGGGTTTGGGGGTGAGGTGATGTGAGTGCAAACAGTCATCATCAGTTATTTGACGATCTGTCTAATGTGGACGTTGGGTTTTTCAAATTTGAGTTAGTCGTCTTATGTCACGAGGATCTAAGTTACTGTAATTATATTTTTTTTTAAAACTGTGATCTATGTTACTAGAATCCGAATTAACTTTGAGTTACTGGAATCTAAGTTACTGGGATCCGAATTAACTTTGAGTTACTGGAATCTAAGTTACTGGGATCCGAACTGGGTTTTAAGCTACTTGAATCCGAAATGGGATCTAGATTACTGGAATCCGAATTCATTTTTTGTTACTGGGATCTGAGTTAATGGAATCCGAACTGGAATCTAAGTTGCTGGAATCCGATCTGGGATCTAAACTACTGGAATCCGAATTCATTTTTTGTTACTGGGATCTGAGTTAATGGAATCCGAACTGGAATCTAAGTTGCTGGAATCCGATCTGGGATCTAAACTACTGGAATCCGAATTAACTTTATGTTACTGAGATCTTCTTAGCGTTCACCAGCTGTAAACTCTGGCTGAAAGTTCTGGTTGTTAATCCACTTCTGGGCTACAGTCCTGTTCCAGAACCTGTGTTGCGTGTGCATCCGTTTTACAGATCTGACTTTGATTTATGCAGACTGCTGGTTCCTCACCTCTCAGACAGATGCACTCCAACTTCCAAGAAAGCTCCTAATTAGTCGACTCTTAAGACATGCTTTTGGTAGGCAGTGGGTCTATTCTTGTTTTCCCTGTAATAGGGCCCCTGAACCGACATGGGGATCTGAGATCTGAGTTCAAGGAATCTGAGTTACTGAAATCTGGCATCTGTCCCATTTGACAACGCACATTTGACAAGCAGGGATAGAAACCCTAAGACCAGCCTACCTGAGGGCAAGTTCATCGTCGATTATACCATCATTACCTACAAATAAGGGGTGGGGGAAGGGGCGGGGGTGCGCTACGTCGTTTCGAGGCATGGTGTCAGCCTCGAGTACTAGAGGTCTCGAGTTCAAGCCCTGGTAAAGGCTGACATCAGGAGTAATTTCCCCTGGTTTCTGGGTACTAAGATTGGACGCCCGTGTGTATTGTTGCGCACACGCGACATGGCTTGAACGGAGCACTTACGGGCTACACCCGTGTGCCATGATGTTATCATGTTGAATAAACAAACAAATAAACAAATTCCTACAGATAATAAAGTATAATGCATGTGCAAATCACTACGTGGACACCCCCTCCATCCCACCCCCTCTCTTGTTTCGTTTAGTTTTTGGTTTACCCACCCAAATCTACCACCCACCCACCCCGCCTAAATGAGTTACACAATTATTGAAGGTTTCAGTCCCGTTAAAATATAATTTTTGTTTGCATGGGGGGGGGGGGGGGGCGCTTAGCCCTCAAATACCTGCGCCTATGTAAAAAAAAAAAAAATTGAAAATAAACTTTTAACAAATTTTTACGGTTATTTCCCTTCGCACATAAAAAAAAAAAAAAAAAATAAACTCGCAAATTGTTTGCGAATCCTCCCGTGTAGTGTATTTTGATAAAGGTTATTCTTTCTTGTTGTTGCTTAGCAATCTCTTGATCCACGAAGAGTTAGGGGGGATGTAAGTTTTAATCAACACTCACACGCACGCACACACACATATACACATACGTATCTACTCACACAGCTAGAAAGCTTCTGAAGCTTTTTTACAAGCTTTTTTAAATCTATCATATTATCTGCCCACCTGATTACTAAAGACCGTAATTAAGAACTTTCGTTGTTGATATTACCTCTGCAGATCTCATGTAATAATAATGGGCTTTTTAAAAAAAAAGTAAATGTATTTTGTTTTTAAAATCATACCCATGTCCTTCATAGCCAGTCTATTTTCAGCGTGAAACCTGATAGGCCGACCTGTCGGTGTTGACAGATGATTGACGTGCGGAGTTCAACCAATGAGAGCTCAAGGCTGGGGAACGGCAGAAGGGGCACTCTTATTCGTTGGTTTGTTTGTGCGAGGAAAGTAATGACAAACAAAAAGGTATTTGAGATGTAGTTCTGCGCCTGATTCGTGACCAAATCGTTTTCATGCTGATGCTGGGCGACACAACAGGCCACATATAACGATCGTGTCTTTCAATGATGTTTGAGCAGTAGACAGCAGAAAAAAAGAAAGATAGAAAAAAAAAGAGGGAGGGGAATGGATAAGTCAAAGAAATTTTAGTCCATCAAATGTCTTGTGAGTTCCAGGGGCGTAGCGGCTAGACGCTGGCCTGCGGATCGCAAAGTCCTGGTCAAAAATGAGCTTGACTCACAGGTCGACTCCGCCTTGAGTGGTACCAGGTACAAACCCTGGGAAGTAAAGGTGGCCGGCATGATGCTGGCTGCATCACCCATCAAGTGCCGATTGGTCTATATAAAATAAGTCTAGCCCTATATGCCCAATACGTGAAAAGCGTGGAAAGGGATCCTTTACCTCTATTATAATAAATAAATTTAGGTGGATTGATTGGTCGTTATATAAAATCTTTTCGTCCTCCTTCTTCTTCTTATTATTATAATTCTCCTCTTCCTCCTCCTCCTCCTTCTCATTCTCATTCTTCTTCTTCTTTTTCTTCTTCTTCTTCTTCTTCTTCTTCTTCTTCTTCTTCTTCTTCTTCTTCTTCTTCTTCTTCTTCTTCTTCTTCTTCTTCTTCTTCTTCTTCTTCTTCTTCTTCTTCTTCTTCTTCTTCTTCTTCTTCTTC